CTCTCTATATATATATATATAGTTGATTTACAACCCTGTATTAGTTTCTAGGGTAAGGCAAAGTGATTCAGTTGCACATATATATTCTTTTTCATATTCTTTTCCATTATGGTTTATTACAAGGCCTTGAATATAGTTCCCTGTGCTATCCAGTAGGACCTTATTTATTCTGTATACAGAAGTTTATGCCTGCTAATCCCAAACTCCTAATTTGTCCCCCACCCATATATATATGTATAAGAGTCTATTGAATGGAAGAAGAACTATTTCTTCCTTGAAGGATATGAATTTTCCGTGATTCAGACAGGTGGACAGACATACAGGGAAGGTTCCATATGGTGATAATCATCTGTGTTCAGGCTGTTCTAGAAGAATCCAAAGGAATGAGAGCTTCCTTTCTGTTCCCTTCCTCTCCTTCCAGAGGGCAAGCACATCCTTGACACAGGGAGCCCGGGGCTTCTCCGCCCACAGAGGAGGGGTAACTCACTCTGGTTTGGGGACAGTGTGAAAATGAAAGGGCAGCGGAGGCCAGGGCAGACCTCAGGGCCTGCAGACAGCAGCCGGAAGTACAGACAGCTGGACCTGGTAGGCAAGATGGGGCTGTATTTAAAGGAGGGCATTCCGTATTAGCCATAAAAAGGAATAGAACTGGGTCATTTGTAGAGAGGTAGATGGACTAGAGTGTCATACAGAGTAAAGTATGTCCGAAAGAGAAAATCAAATATCCTATATTAATGCATGTGGGCTTCCCAGGGGGCACAGTTGTAGTGAATCCGCCTGCAATGCAGGAGACATTGGTTTGATCCCTGGGTCAGGAAGATCCCCTGGAAAAGGAAATGGCAACTCACTCCAGTATTCTTGCCTGGGAAATCCCAGGGACGGAGGAGCCTGGCTGGCTGCAGTCCATGGGGTCCCAAAGAGTTGGGCATGACCGAGTGCCTGAGGACACGTGCAAGGGATTTAGAAAGAAGGTAGAGATGGACCGCTTTGCAGGGCAGGAGCAGAGGCATGGATGCAGAGGACGGACATGCGGACATGGGGGAAGGAGCTGGGGGCAGGTTGGGAGATCAGGATCGACATATATGTTAATATCCTGCTGGGTGTAAAACAGTGGGAACCCGCTGCGTAGTGGGTGCTTGCTGCTCTGTGATGACCTGAGGGGTGGGAGGGGGTGGGCTGGGAAGGGGCTCACAAGTGGGGAGATAGATGTGCCCATAGAGTTGATTCACTTCTTTGTACAGCGGAAACTAACTGGAGTAGTTAGTTAGAAAAGCAATTCTACTCCAATTAATAAAAAGGAGGACCATTCCAAGGGTGGGGAGACACCCTTGCCCTGTTTCCCACATGGTCCACAAAAGTGGCAGCTCCTCTGGCAGGGTGGCACCTAGATGCCAGCGTGGGGGATGCAGGAGGGGGAGCTTGGGGCTGGACTCGCGGCACACGATGCCTGTGCCCACAGCTAGCATGGAGGCGCAGTTCCATTCTCATAATGGCCAACAAGGGCCGCTCATTGGCGACCCAGACAGCCCTCGGACCAGCCCACCTCTTTCCTTTCCCAGAACCGTGTAAACCTCTCAAACTCTCTCTGGTGCGACGTGAATAAAGCTCACTCCCATCTCCCCAGGCCCTCAACATACGAACTTTGGGGCAACACAGACATTCAGTCCACAGCCCTCCTCTTGATCTCAAATGGTTTATTGCCACAAACGGGTCTTTCCTCGCTCCATCTTCTCGTTTTGGGAAGAGGTGGAGATGGGCCGATGAGCAATCACAAGGGCTCCTAGGGTTAAGTCCCCCATCAAAGGCCTTCGGGGTCACTTGAGATCACAGTTATCGTTAAATTGCTTCTGCAGACTCACACTGAGGAAGCTTAGAGCTGAATTACAGCAGCTGTCCTTTGGGAACCAGCCTGTCTGTAAATTCAGAGATGGAGCCTCCCCAGGCACGGGAAAAAAATCGTGGTTCAAGAATTGAAAATAATGTGGTCAACAGCAATTTAGAAGGCTTCTCACTGAGCATGGTTTAAAACAAGCAAGAAAAAAGGGAAAGAGAAAAGCAGCTTGTAAGAATCAGTTTTAAAAGCCTCCGTGCAAGTTGTTGCTTTAAAATACTACCATTGTGTCTAACTTCATTCAGTACAATTTTTATTAACTTGATTTTTTTTTTTTTGCCCTCTCTTGCTTTTTGCACTCAGTAAAAAAAAATCTCAACAACTTCTTCAAATGTTCCCCAATCAAGCCTTTTATCTCCATGGGGTCAATTCCACCTGCCAATTTGCAAATGGGCTTGTTTGGGTCACCAGACCACAGCATTCTCGGCAAAGTTTCCATTTGCAGGCGGGCTGGGACTGCCAGCCCTGCCCTCTGGAAAAGGTGCAGAGATTCAAATAGGACTTTCTAAAAACATTGGTTGGGGCTGTATGTGGTGGGGGATCAGAGCATGGATGCAGGACGCTTCTCTGTTGTATCTTATGGCTTTACAGTTTTGAAGATTTCAGGGCGGGGGGGCAGAGCTTACCCAAGCACCAGCTGTAGAGACCCCCCTTACTCCCAGATCTGAGGTCTCAGAGGGGCAGGGGCGTGTCCTCCTCGCCCATTCAGGGAGCCCCCTGATGTCCCCGCCCCCTTTCAGCCTCTCCTCTGCCCTCTGCCATGGTGCCCCCCAAACCCTGGNAGAGCTTACCCAAGCACCAGCTGTAGAGACCCCCCTTACTCCCAGATCTGAGGTCTCAGAGGGGCAGGGGCGTGTCCTCCTCGCCCATTCAGGGAGCCCCCTGATGTCCCCGCCCCCTTTCAGCCTCTCCTCTGCCCTCTGCCATGGTGCCCCCTGAAGCCTGGGTCAGGGACTCAGCCGAGGACTCCCGAACATCTTCCTGCATCTTCCTGTATCCTACACTCTGCGAAGTGGGGTGCATGTTTGCCAAGTCGCTCAGTCATGTCCGACTCTCTGCGACCTCATGGACTGTAGCCCGCCAGGCTCCTCTGTCCCTGGGATTCTCCAGGCAAGAATACTGGAGGGGTTGTCGTGCCCTCCTCCAGGGGATCTTCCTGACCTAGGGATTGACCCTGCGTCTCCTGCATTGCAGGCGGATCCTTTATCGCTGAGCCACCAGAGAAGCCTGCATGTTGGGTGTTGGGGTACCACCTCACGCTGCCTGGAGCATCCAACCAGATGGACACTTGACTTCTATACAAACTATCACAAAACAATGGGTAAACATCAAGAGACAGAGAGGACACGCAGAAGAGGCGGCTCTCAGGTTGGAGGTGTGGGGATGTCCCCAGGAGTGAAAACAGCTAACCTACAGGAGGGTGGAGTTCCCTGGGGGCAGGGGGTGGGGAAGGTGGGGAGAGTGGGAATTCGGAAAGGGTGACTTCAAGGAGTGGGCGGGGCCAGAGTAGAGGAGGCAGGGAGGCAGGCCAGGGAGTTTGGAATTTATTTCAGGGATGCAGAGGGGATGCCCAGGGTCTTCATGTGGAGGAAAGGCCTGATGGGGTGGACGGGGCTGAGGGTAGGAAGTACTGTTGGCGGGGGTGGGATTCTGACTCTGCAGTGCAAGGCCAGGCTGGGCTGCCTCTTCTCTAGTCCACCTAGGAGATCACACCCCTTAAACAGTAAACTTCTTTTTTTTTTTTGGTTTGTTTTCTTTTAAAGTATTTATTTATTTGCCTGTGCTCAGTCTTATGTTGAAGCATGCTCAGTCTTTGTTGTGGCACGCAGGATCGTTTTTAGTGGAGGCATGTGGGATCTAGTTCCTCGACCAGGGATTGAACCTGAGTCCCCTGCATTGGGAGCGTGGAGTCTTAGCTACTGGACCACCAGAGATGTCCCAGTAAACAGAACCTTTTCGAGGAGGCGGGTGTCTCATTCATCTTACATCCTTGCCTAGGAGCCAGTGCTCTCTTTGTGTCCAGCTGGGTTCTGTTAGCTGCTGCCAATTAAAGGGAAAAATGGAAACAGTGACAGACCTTATTTTCTTGGGCTCCAGAATCACTGTGGATGGTGACAGCAGCCGTGAAATTAAAAGACGCTTGCTCCTTGGAAGGAAAGCCACGACAAACCTAGATCGTGTATTACCAACCAGAGATATCACTTTGCCAACAAAGGTCTGTATAGTCAAAGCTATGGTTTTTCCAGTAGCTTTGTATGGATCTGAGAGCTGGACCATAAAAAAGGCTGAGTGCCAAAGAATAGATGCTTTCGAACTGTGGTTGGTCCTGGAGAAGACTCTCGAGAGTCCCCTGGACTGCAAGGAGATCAAACCAGTCAATTCTGAAGGATATCAACCCTGAATTTTCATTGGAAGGACTGATGTTGAAGCTGAAGCTCTAATACTTTGGCCACCTGATTCGAAGAGCTGATTCATTGCAAAATACCCTGATGCTTGGAAAAATTGAGGGCAGAAGGAGAAGGAAATGACAGAGGATGAGAAGGTTGGATGACATCATTGACTCGATGTACATGAGTCTGAGCAAGCTCCAGGAGAGAGTGAAGGACAGGGAAGCCTGGCATGCCTCAGTCCGTGGAGTTGCAAAGAGTTGGACATGACATAGCGTCCAAACAGCAAACAACAATAACAAGTTCACGTTGCAGAAATAACTCAGACCCTTTCCCTGGTGATCTTTTAACCCCCGAGGAATGCAAACCTGAGCCCTGAAATCAGAGCATTCTGGATGATTCCCTGTGGATGTGATTCCTGGAGGATGTGGTCACAGGAATGAATACAAAATTTAAAACTTCCCAAGAAAATCATGAATGGGCCACACATCCGAGAAGGTGCCCCAGGCCATCTGCTCAGGATGAAATGGACAGGCTTCCTGGGCTCCTCGCTGTGTGCCTTGCCACTGCATGACCCCCACCCCCCACCACCCAGGTCCAGGCTCCCATTATGAGGTCACCCCAAGGGCCCTGCGCTTTTAAACACAGATTTTCTGTTGGAAGGAAAGCCATGACAAACCTAGATCGTGTATCACCAACCAGCTCTTCTCTCCAGTTCCTTTGAAGCCAGGTGGCCTCCCTGATGGAACACTGAAGCAGATGGCCCTGCTCGGGGTCCTGGCGCCCAGCCCTTGCTGCAGGGAGCAGGAGCAGGTCGGTGACTCACTTGGACAGTGACTTCTGTGGTCAGGGCAGGCAGAACCCCGAGGCACCCTCACCACTGCCGTTTGCTTCCTGACCTCGGAGCATCTGGAGGAGCCGTGTTGACCCTGAAAGTTGAAAGGCTTTCCGGCTGTCTGGCTGCCACTTCTCTTCTTCAGGGATGTTCCCTGGTCCCCCGTCCGGCTTCCCATCCTGGAGCTGGTCACGCTGGGTTTTCTGAGTAGGAAGTGGCACGTGGCTCCAAGCACGCAAGATGTCCCACCATGAACTGAATCTGGGGAATAAACTCTGTGCCCCCTGACCCCTGGGGTGCCCCAACCCTACTGGTTTCTCTCAGTAAGGCAGGGATCTCCCAGATCCCTAGAGCCCCTTAGACACCCAAAGGTACCTCCAGACTCCCTGAGTTCCCCCGAGGCTCCCTGAGTTCCTCCCAGACTTCCCGAGGTCCCCCAGACTCCCCAAGTTCCCCCCAGACTCCCTGAGGTCCCCCCAGACTTCCCAAGTTCCCCCAGACCCCCCGAGTTTCCCCAGACCACCAAGGCCCCCCAAGGTCACTGAGATCGCAAGTCCCCTCGCTGGCCCCCAGATTTCCCAAGGCCCACTCCTGAGCTCCCCCCGACCGCAGAGGCCCCCATAGATCCCTGATGGTCCCAGACCCCTGGAGGCCCCCCGAGACCCCTAAGGCCCCTCCAGACTCCCTGAGAACCCAGGCCGCTCACCCCTGGACAGATTGTAAGGAGCAGTCTGACCGGGGTCTCCTTTCCATCCCTGAACCCTCTGGCTGAGGAGTTCTCCGGCCAAACAGGGCTTCTCTCTGCCTTCAGCCATGTCCTTGGTAGTTAGCATTGCCTCTGGGCCGGACTGGAGCAAAAATAAGGCAAGGGGTCTGGGGTCTGCAGGACTGTTCCTTCTGAGCTCCATGTCTCCGAGCCTCACTGGTCCCCACCCCCAGGGCACATGGCTTAAGACCAGGGACTGGGAATACTGGACTTGGGATGGCTGAGTTGGTCCTTCTCCCTCTCATCACCATGAGGGCTCCCTCTGGGCTGGTGGCTGGGGAACCCCAGGAGCCAGCCTGCAGGAAAGGGCTGAGGACAGCGGCCTCATTGGACAGTGTGACAAAGCCAGGCGGAGACCCTTTGTCCCTGGGGCAGGAACGTGAGGCTGGCCCGTCTCCCCCCACGCCCTCTGGGGCAGCGGGCAGAGGATTCACAGCTTCCCTCCTGGCCCAGGTGTCCATATATTTTTCTTGTCAATATGTTCGTTTTCAGCCAATTGTACAGACAAAGGGGAAAATCCCACAGAATGAAGGAGGAGCAGGAGGAAGAGGAGAAGCAGAAGGAGGAGGAGAAAAGCTGTGTTTACATTTCAGGAAACAACCTCGGGGAAAGAGCGACCTTCCTGGCTGCGGAGACCACGCTGCAGCCCTTAGGAGCCCATGCTGAGTCCGCTGACTTGTTGGGCCTCGTCCTCAAGCAAGTGAACCTCATTCACCCGACCCGAGTTATTCTTCAGGTAACCGGGGGCCCATCAGGGCTGGTGGCCCTGAATTCTCAGAACAAAATCTGCCCAGTAGGCAGGACGAGAGGTCCGGGATGAGGCCGCATGCGTGCTCGGTCATGTCTGACTCTTTGCGGCCCCGTCGACTGCAGCCCGCCAGGCTCCTCTGTCCACGGGATTCTCCAGGCAAGAAGGACACTGGAGTGAGGTGTCATGCCCTCCTCCAGGGGATCTCCCTGACCCAGGCGTGGAACCCGGGTCTCCTGCATTGCCAGCAGATTCTTTACCGCTGAGCCACCCAGGAATGAGGCAGACTCTGGTATGAATTCCAGAACACCCAGGGGATTTCAGTCTGTCTTTAGATCTGCTGGTTTCTGTTCATCATACAGGCAGCCTATTATCTGATGATTTGAAAAGAATTATTTGGCTGTGCCAGGTTTTAGTTGCAGCCCACAGGATCTTTAGTTGTGACGTGTGGACCCTTAGTTACGGCACATAGGGTCTAGTTCTCTGACTGGGCATTAAACTGGGATGCCCTGCTTTGGGAGCTCGAAGTCTCGGCCACTGGGCCACCAGGGAAGTCCCCTGGCTGACGATGTTAGCTCCTGAGTTCGCAGTGCCGCGGAGGCTGGGCTGGGTATGGAACTGCACCCTGAAATCAGCAGTCATACTTACACACAGGCTCCCACCACATCAGCAGAAGCAACCTGCTTACCCCTGATGGAGGGGATGGGTCCCCTTTCTCCGAGAGATTCCCCAGAGCCTCACTCAAGACACTTGACACTTGTCCTCCCTAACGGAACCCGTGGTCCCTCAATACATCGACTGATGAGTCTGATAACAAAGATTGGCCATCAGCATGTCTGCAGAGGAGAAATTCATCAGGCGATGAAGAGAGCCGGAGCTGCCAATGGTAACCAGGAAAATACACGTGGTGGTGGGTCTGGCTCCGTTCACGGACCCGGACTGTATTGATCGATTAATTAGAAGTCGAGCCTCCTTGAGGACAGATCCTGTAAATGTCACTGCCAGTTTATGCCATCATTGTTTTCCCGATCCTTCCCCAGAGTGACATATGGCTACTGACAATGGTACGTGTGTCCTGAAAAAAGACTTTCAAGGATTGTTGGATGCAGGGTCTGCTACCAGGAGACCTGAAACTCTGTTGCTGTCCCCACTCACAGTGATAAATAGAGTCCAGGCCCACGTCCACGTCACCGCGAATCCAAGGGCTCACCTGTGATCACTTTTTCAGTCCCTTATTGTGTAACTTGGGGGGCTGCAATCCAGAGTTGGCAGGACCCTGGCTTTGATTCTGTGACCTGTGGGAAAGGAGTCATGCAGTGGGAGAAGCCAGATGGAATCCCCTGAAACGGTCCCCTCCTGCCTGAGGCAGTAAGGCGGAAGCAATGCCACCCCGGGAAGAACTGCAAAGACTTTGTGCATCACAGAACACTTAAGGATGCAGGGGTCCTGACTCATCACATTCCCATTCAACTCACCCGTCTGACCCCAAAGCGTGCAGGACATTACGTAAACCACGCCAGAGGCGGTGTATTGTTTACTGGAGGAGATTGACAGCCCCTGACGTTGGTATGTGGTTGTGTTCTCGCTTATTTACTGGCTTAGGCACTTTCCATTCTTCCTGTAAACTCTTGTTTTCAACCGGAAGAACATCCTGGAAGTATGGATCAGCTGGCAATAAATTTTTGCTTGTCTTGTTCTTCAGTTGCTAAGTCCTGTCCAACTTTTGTGACTCCATGGACGGCAGCATGCCAGGCTCCTCTGTCCTCCACTATCTCCCAGAGTTTGCTCAGATTCGTGTTCATTGAGTCGGTGATGCTATCAAACCATCCCATCCTCTGCCATCCCCTTCTCTTCCTACCCTCAATCTTTTCCAGCATCAGGGTCTTTTCCAATGAGTTAACTGTTTGCGTCAGGTAACCAAAGTATTGGAGCTTCAGCTTCAGCATCAGTCCTTTCAAACAATATTAAGGGTTGATTTCCTTTAGGATTGACTGGTTTGATCTCCTTGTGTGTTATTAACCTGAAAATGCCTTTATTTCAATTCTCTTGTTTTGAAGGACATTGTCATTGGATATAACATTCTGAGTTGATGAGTGTCTCCTTCCAACACTTTAAATATCGTTTCCCATTATTTTCTGATCTCTTTTGTTTCTGATGAGATATCAGCCATCAGTGTTGGGGTCTTCCCGTATATGTAATGTTCTCTTTTCTCTGGCTGCTTTCAAGATTTTCTATTTTTCAGTAGTATGATGATGTGTGTAGGTGTGGTTTTTGGGCTTTTTCTGGGGTTTTGTTTTGTAATTATCTTATTTGGAATTTATTGAGTTTCTTGGATCTGCAAATATCTTTCTCCCTATTATATGGAGATCTTCAACTTTGGGAATTTTTTGTTTTATTTACTCAGTCTTTTTCTGCCTCCTTTCACTCTGTTTTATTTCTGGGACTGCAGCTACACACATTCCAGGCCATTTGACTTTGTTCCAAGGGTCTCTGAACATTTGCTAATTTTCTTTAGATTTCCCTCTCTCTCTTTAAAACTTTTTTAAAAACTTGTTTATTTATTCTGGTTGCGCCGGGTCTTTGTTGGTGTGTACGGGCTTCAACCGGCTGTGGTGAGTGGCGGCTACTCCTCATTGTGATGCGTGGACTGCTTATTGCAGTGGCTTCTCTTGTGGGGACACAGACCCCAGGCACGTGAGCTTCAGTGGCTGCCGTCTGAGGCTCCAGGCTGCCTGGGCGCAGGAGCTGTGGCCTGCAGGCTTAGCTGCTCCACTGCATGTAGAATCCTCCCAGACGGGGGTGAAACCCACGCCCCCAGCATTGGCAGGCAGAATCCTACCCACGAAACCACCAGAGAAGTCCCCTCTGTTTTATTGTTTTTCTCGATTGGATAGTTTCTATTGATCTGTCTTCAGGCAATTTCTACTGTCATTTCTAATCTTCTTTTAATCCACTTACTTTTTCACTTGTTATTGTGCCTGTGAATTCTGGAATTTCCATTTAGTTCTTCTTTCGAGTTCTAATTTATCTTCAGAGATTCTTTATTCATTTGTTCATTAGGGCCATAATTTCCTTTAAATCCTTGAACATATTTATAATAATAGCTTTACTATATCTGCTAAGTCCAACATCTGGGCCATCTTAGGGTCAGTTCCAATTGACTGCTATTTTATGGCATATGAGCTATATTTTCCTGGTACTTTGCATATCTAGATTTTTTCCTATTATTTGGAACTGCAGATGGCACATTTTAGAGATTTGGAATTCTGATATTTGTCTCTGAGTACTGCTGGTTTTATTCTTGTAGGTGGTGGATTTCTGGCTGATAACTTGAACTTGCATAGACTTTGATCTGGTGTTTCCTGAACCCCTCTAAGTGGCTTTGACTCTCCTTCTGAGTTCTGTCTTCAAGCCTTGTTGAGACTTGATTTAAGGCTCTAGACTTATATAGACCAGAGTTTGCTGCAGGTCATGGTCTTTACTCCTAAGGCACAACTTTTCTGATGTGTCTTCTCATTCCTGGCTGGCCGGGAGCTTCAGTATGTCTCAGCAAACTTTGGTCTCTCAACTCCATAGCACCTGATCTCAGGTAATTCTTGCATAGTCTTTCCCTGTATACTCACAACCCCAGTCTCAGCCAAAGACTTGCAAGTCACCCTCACGCAGATGTCTGAGGTGCTCCCGTGGGCACGGCGCCCTCCTCTCTGCACCCTGACCGCAGAGTCACGTCGTTTTGGCAGTCCCCTCCGCTCAGTAAGGTTGCTCTTCCCTGCTCTTGCTCCTATGCCATGGTCAGGAAACCTCCCCTAGGCAGAGAGGCAGGGCAGTTAATGGGGTTGCCTTACAAGTTTCCCTTCTCTCAGGGATCACGGTCTTTAATGCCTGTTTTCTGTTGCCCAAACAAGATTGCTTCATATTCGTCCCCCCCCACCCCCAATTTTGTGGTTCTTTATGGCAGGAAGCTTCCTCTGGTAGTCACTTCTCCATCTTGGAGCCAGAAATGGAAGTTCTAGAAGTGTTCTTCTCCAGTCCCATTGGTGAAGAGGATAAAAAGCAACTTGTCATCATGGGAGAAGGACGGCAGTTCACATTCACTCTCTGGTTCCACACTGGCGATAACTCTCCTATTCTCCAAACAAGATACCTCACAGGGACTGTAGTCATCTCGATATTCTATAGATCAGGCTGGTCTTCTATACTGATAACCCATGTGAACTGGAAGTGGTGAGCTTGGAGCAGGGAGGATGCAGAAAGTGAGAAACTAAGTTATGACAATATCAAGGGCTGCATGTCAACGAAATGAGTAGGGACCCAGTGTCCAGGGCCCGTGGGGCTTCCCTTTAAAGCAAAGAATCATTTGTTGCCCATCCTACATCTTCTACAGCTAGCAGGAAAGAAGCACAAAACTTAAAGTTGTTTGGACTTGGGGGGAGGCGGAAATCGATATCACTCTCAGGAATTCTGTTCTAACCAGTTTATTGAGGGGTTTGAATGGCTTTCTATCTCACGTGAGACGCAGATCAGGAGAGGGCTCGTTGGCAGGCAGAGGCGGCAGTGTAAGTTTCTCTGTCCTTAGGGACTTGCGATCCACCAGACAAGGTGATGAGAGCTTGCACAGGTGGGGAGTGCAGAAAACCTCTCCAGGAGCATCTCATCATGGACCTGTGGAGTTTCTGAGTGAAGACATGCTCTTTCTAGGATTTTTAAAATTTTTTTGGCCACACTGCGCAGCATGCAGGATCTTAGTTCCCTGACCAGAAATTGAGCCTGCGCCCCTCTGTGTTGGAAGTGCAGAGTCTTAACCACTGGGCTGCCAGGGAAGCCCCAGGTTGTGCTCTCTACAAGAGACTGCTGGCTGTTTGAAGAACAGCTTGTGAGCTGCTGGCAGGTTCCAGCAGGGCTGGAGTGCCTGGGCAGGGCACACCAGGCGGTCGTGCGGCTGAAGTGTCTCTCACGAGCTGGCTGAAGACTGACTCTTTTTGCATCACGTCGTCTCTGAGAAGTAACCTGGAAAGAGAGCAAGGGGGGCAGCCCTCAGGCAGCACACTGGCCATCCACCACACATAGAAAAGTACCGGGAGCAAGAAAATCCAGATGCCTGGACATGGGCAAACGGCTTGTCTTATGGGATAGGAGCCTGCAAGGAACAATACTAGGAGATCGGGGACAACTTTGTCTGAAGATGGACATATGGCAGTGGGCAAAAGTGTGTGGGTGTCCACTGACCATCAGGGGGCCTGTCCCATAGTTCAGGCTCGAAGGGACCAGGTCTGTGGGATGACTTGTCCTGGACATAAAGGCCAGTCTTTCTACTTGATTCTGGCGCAAAAGAATAAATCAAAGATGATGAACCCCAAACCTCTGTGTGGCTGCTCTCTTTGGATGACCACAGTCATCCACAGATGATGCTGTTGATGACAGAGAAATGAACAAGAATCCACAGGAGACAGCAAAGTTACCTCTTTCTTCTTGGAAGTTATGTTCCTAAGAGAGTGTTCAGAAATAATGACCATTGTCTTGGGGCATGTTAAGTGGCCCATAGACACCAATACCCATGCTGGACACTCAAACTTTCAGCAACCAAGACAAGTGATGAACCTTCAACGTGGCACCCTTCCTTGAGAGCACTAGCAAATCCCTTAGTGGCAGGTTAATTCCATCACCCCTCTTTTAATCTGGAATTCTCCAGGCAAGAATACTGGAGTAGGTAGCCATTCCCTTCTCCAGGGGATCTTTCCGAGCTAGGGATTGAACCCTAGTCCCATGTTTCCTGCATTGCGGACAGATTCTTTACCAGCTGATCCACTAGGGAAGCCCTTCTAATCTGGGTAGAATAGCAGTTTGTCTTTTCTGGAACTACCATCTCTCTTGGTATGGGTTTGCTTCCTCTGCTCACACTGCTTCCCCAGCATCCATCAAAGAGCTTACAAAATCCATCCCCGAGGTCTGACTGCACACCTTGAATTGAGAACTCATATTACAGCTGGGGAGATAACCACACTGAGCACACGGCCTTGTGGTCTGCTGGTCTTAGGACCTACTCTCATCAGTCAGAAGCAGATAGCCTGGGAGAATACCAGAGCATCCTGTGAAAGACTCAGCTACCCATCAATGCACCCAACCAATGGCCAAATATGGTGCTGTGACCCCCAAAGTTGAAATTCACGGATTTAAGAACAAAGGCTGCAGTAGGAGAGCCATTTCTCATTGTCACCACCGCCCCCACCCCCAATATGGGGTGCCTCGCTGGAAGTGCGTGCTGAACACGCCTCTTGCTTCCTGCCCCTAAGCTCCTCTGAGGACTGCCATGCGTGTCTGCTTAGCCCTCACACACACTATCTGGAAGTGCTGGGAAGTCAACACTCTGTGGGCTGATTCTCTGTCCAATGGAGGGGGGACACTGACAGATGGAGGTCAGACATGAGAGTTGGACCATAAAGAAGGTTGGTTGCTGAAGTACTGATGCTTTTGAATTGTGCGGCTGGAAAAGACTCCTGAGGATCCCCTGGACAGCAAGATCAAACCAATCAATTCTAAAGGAAATCAACCCTGAATACTCATTGGAAGGAGTGATGCTAAAGCTGAAGCTCCAATCTTTGGCCACCTGATGCAAAGAATTGACTCATCAGAAAAGACCCTGATGCTGGGAAAGATTGAGGAAAGGAGAAGGGGGTGACAGAGAATGAGACGGTTGGATGGCACTGTCCATAGACTCAATAGACATGAGTTTGAGCAGTCTCTGGGGGATGGTACAGTCAGGGAAGGCTGGCGTGCTACAGTCCGTGGGGTTGCAAAGAGTCGGACACAACTGAGCGACCGAACAACGAGAGTCCCAAGAGCCCGTGGAGGGGGACGGGCAGCGGGGTCGGTGCGGGGGCCGGGGTGGGGAAGCCGGAGGGGCCGGGAGGCACTGTGTGCAGCTCTGCTGAGAAAGAGGAGGGAGTCAGGTGAGCATCTGGAGTGAAGCATTCCGGATGGAGGGGATACTGTGTGTGTCAGTCGCTCAGTCGTGTCCGACTCTTCGCAACCCCACGGACTGTAGCCTGCCAGGCTTCTCTGTCCATGGGATTCTCCAGGCAAGAATACTGGAGTGGGTTGCCATGCCCTTTTCCAAGAGGGGATAGCAGGAGACCACCTCAGGGAGATGAGGGTCTTTTCCATTCCAGCGCATTCAGTGTTTAGAAATAAACAATATTCAACTTCACGTAATACCCCTGAGAAAGTGGCTTAGCAGGATTATGCAACTGCTTCATGTACTGGTGAGCCCAGGGGCTTCAGACCTCACAGGGTCCTCCATCCATTTTTCTTGCCTGATGGACGTAATCTGGACAAGAAAATTGTGTTTTGAAGATGGCAGATCCAAAGGGGAAACAAAAATATGTGTAGCCAGCATCCGTTTATTAGAGACCAAGTTTAGTTATGATCAATCAAGTCTTTCTACTTGATTACAGCAAAAATGAATAAATAAAAGATACAAACCCAAGACCTCTCCCTGGCTTCTCTTTAGAAAGACCGTTGTGATCTGGTGGAATCCAAGTCAGGTGTGGTGGGTACCACAATCATCCCCCAGATGATGCTGTCGATGATGGAGAAATGAATAAGAATCCACTGGACACAGCACAGATATCTTTTCCTTCCTGGAAACTGTTGCTAAGGAGCGTATTCATAATGAAAGACCATTGTCTTGGGGCATGTGAAGAGGCCCACAGAAATCAAAGGGATTTAAAGGGGTTGAGAAGCAGGTGTGGTGAAGAGTCGGACATGGCGGGAGTCGTCAGGGCCGGAAGGGACAAAGTTCAGACGGTGCCCATGGCATTTTATTGCAGAAAGGAAAGCACCCTTTTGAATTCTATAATAACACTCTGTGTTTGTGGTCTATTTTCATCTGAGGATCTCAGAACACTTTCAGGTAGTCTTTAAACTTCACAACGACCTGATGCACTGGGTATAATTATACCCGTTTCTTCGCAGGGTCATCTGAGGCCCTTTAAGATGAGCTGACTTGCTTGGAGACTTTGATCTCGACTTTCCTGTTTTCCACTCCAACTTGCCTGGTTCATTTTAATGTTGCTAAATCAGTGAGGGACAAGAAAATTTAAACAAATCTACTCCAAAACCAGTTACTTAAATTCTTGGGCAAATCCTCTGTAGGTCTCCATGACCCCCTTCCTCTCATGTTCATTAACAAAACCAGTTAGCCAAGGTATTTTTTTACATGCTTTTAGGAAAAGTCGTTGTATGGAAATATTGGAAGGCATGAGATTGATCCCACAGAGCAAATGTGCCCCTTTCCCATGGTCTGAAATGGACTCCGTCCCAGGCAAATTGGAGTTGCAGGTATGCCGGCTAATTTCCCATCATTCTGCCTGGAGGCTATAAGATGTCTTTTCATCTTAAGTTACATAAGTATCCAAACACATAAGAAGACTGTTATTACAAAGGCAACTGATGCAGGGCAAAAAAAAGAGTTTCGTTTATTCTGAATATCTGCACTAAACGGTTTTGATGTCTTTTCAGGGACTCCTAAGTACTAAGAAGGAGAAAAAAAAATGCACAAAAGTCCTTTTAAAAATGCAACCTGGCTGTCGCTGATGTTGGGTCTGTCGAGAAATCTATTGTCCATAAGGCAAGGGCCGGGCGATCATAATCCATCCTATGATATTTGCATTCGCCTTCCCCGTCTGCCCAACCGGCGGCTTATGCAAAGCAGCTCTTAGTATTCTTAGGGGGGTGGGGGCAGGGAGAGAGCTTGTACATGTACTTCAAAAACTCTGCTCCCGACAATGGAGAACATTTGTGTTAAATATGCTGCGCTCTGGATGTTTTCTACCCGCTTCTTCAGGAAAACAGATGGATAGTTTCTCTGACAGTGAAATTTATAGGTAACTGAAGGAAATGAGCGGTAAAAGGGAAAATTCCCTGTTTTTAATGTTCCCCATATAATCAAGGGCCTCTTTCACGGAGGTACCCCACTGCACTCCATCCTTCCACATTCTTTCCCCTTGACTGGCTCTCAAAAGATCCATTTCAACGAGGGAGAAAAAACCCAGCATCAAGGATGATGGTTGCTGATCCTGACACGCACATAGGTTGTCTGCTAAACAGATAGCTTTGGCTCAGCCGTATCGGACAACCGACCTCTGGGTGAGCTGCCCAGCAGCCGCTCTCCTGCAGGCGATGTCGAGGGAAGCCAGCCCTGCAGATTAGGGGCCCCCCGGGAAACCGAGCCCGATCCGGGCGCTCAGTTTCATCTCTAATCTATTCGGTGAGGTGTGTTCAGTCAGCGACTTCCCAGGAAGACTTGGGCCACATGGGAAGAAATCTAAGTTTCCAGCCTGTGTCCCTAGGGCCGTCTGAATGGAGCCGGTGTTTGAGCCTGTCCCGTACCTCGTGTAGGTCTGCGATACCATCAGGGGTGCCCCTGCGCTGGGCGGCGGGGGGGGAGGGAGGTGGCCGGCCTGCGGACTCGAGAAACTCAATCCCAGGCCCTTTAGCTCGACAGACATCGATGGGGAATTTACTAGGGTGGATGGAAGGATAAATTAAATCACAAAAGCTGCACTGGGAGGGAGAGGAGTATATGTGACTACTGTAAGACAAGTGAGGATAAGATATATGCACACGTATATACATATACATACATATAAAGGGAGGTGGGCTTCCCCACTGGCTCAGTAGTAAAGAATCCACCTGCAATGCAGGAGACACAGGAGATGCGGGTTTGATCCCTGGGTCAGGAAGATCCCCTGGAGGAGGAAATGGCAACCCACTCATGCCTACAGAATCCCATGGACAGAGGAGCCTGGTGGGCTACAGTCCCTGGGCAGAGTCAGACAAAACTGAAGCTATTGAGCACGCACGCACACATGCTTAGAGGCACAAAAACGTTTCGGATAAGTGATTTATTCTGTCTCAGAGGCCCCAGGATGGTATTTCAGATGGGTTCTGAAGGATAAATGGACACTCAATGAGAGGAAGACTCCGTGAGATTATTCAGGCTGCTGTCACAAAGCCCCAGCCAGAGGGGCAGTCCTGGAGGCTGGACTCCCAGACCCGCGTGTGGGCAGGGCTGGTCCTCCTGAGGCCTCTCTCCTGGGCGTGCAGACGGCCGTCTCCTCCCCCTGTCCTCACAGGGTCATCCCTCTGTGTGTCTGTGTCCTGACCTCCTCTTCTCATGAGGACCCTAGACCTCTAAGAGACTAGGGCTCCACCCAAAAGACTTCCTTTTTACCTTAATCACCTTTTGAAAGGCCCAGCTCCAGATACAGTCACACCATGAGGTGCTGGGGTCAGGACCCCAACACATAGCTCTTTGGGGGAGACAATTTGGCCCCTGACAAAGGGAAGGTGGTTCTTTCATGACGTTACAGAGACACAAAAGGGTAGGGTCCTGGGTCAGGTTTCCTGGATGCAGAGCCTGAGGCGAGGGCTGGGGTCCACTTGATTTACTGAGAGGGGTCTCTCAAGAGAAAGGAAGCGAAGGAGGCAGGATGGGGCAGGGGACAAACTTCAGTGAGGTGGTAGTCTCAGCCGGAGACTGGCCTCAGCCTGGGCCCTCATGGAGCTCTGGAGTGTCAGATGTGGGACCAACAGACTTGTGGCCCCTTGAGGCCACCACGGGGGCGTTTTGTACACCCCCAACCAGGTTAGCCAGACACTGGCTGTGGTTTCCCATGATGGCTGAAATGTGATTCTATAAGTCAGGGCTCCCAGGGAGTTGAGGGATCTCCCTGGACCAGGTCAAAGCTAAGGTTTTTCCCGTAGTCACGCATGGATGTGAGAGCTGGGCCATAAAGAAGGTTGAGCATTGAAGAATTGATGCTTTCGAACTGTGGTGTTGGAGAAGGCTCTTGAGAGCCCCTTGGACTGCAAGGAGATGAAACCAGTCAATCCTAAAGGATATCAACCCTGAATATTCATTGGAAAGACTGAGGCTGAAGCTGAAGCCAAAGCTCTAATATTTTGGCCACCTGATGCAAAGAGCTGACTCATTGGAAAAGACCCTGATGCTGGGAAAGATTGAAGGCAGGAGGAGAAGGAGGGAACAGAGGATGAGACGGTTGGATGGTATCACTGACTCAAGGACATGAATCTGAGCAAACTCTGGGAGATGGTGAAGGACAGGGAGGCCTGGCGTGCTGCCGTCCATGGGGTCGCAAAGAGTCAGACACGACTGAGCGACAACAGCAGCAACAACTGGACCAGGAGCTGCCTGAACAGCCAACATCAGAGCTGCCTGAACAGCCAACACAGAGGCTGGGGGCGCTCCTGGTGGCCGAGCTCCTAGGGGGACCTGGGTGGGTGCCCACGCTTCCCAGAGGCACAGTGAGCTTGAGGGGACAGAGTGGCTGCATTGGTGGGTTGACCACGGGGGTCTGCAGTGGCGAGGGTTGGGTGTGGGCAGGGCTACTGAAAAGGGGGAAAAATTGGAGATGGGGCTACACTGTTGCCCATGGCCTCTCTGGCCTGCCCTCCACCCCCAGCCTGGCACAGGGCAGGGACCCTGCAAAAGTTGCTGTTCAGTTGCTAAGTTGTGTCTGACTCTTTGAGATCCCATGGACGGCAGCAAGCTAGGCTCCCCTGTCCTTCAGTCTCTCCCGGAGTTTGCTCAAACTCATGTCCATTGAGTCGATGATGCCATCTGCAAGAGGGGTTACGAGAAAACCCATGTGGGCCAGACCTGGACCAACTTCTGCATTCAGAGAGCTGCTTCCATTCCCTCTCCTTGGGCTTTTATTAAAAAGAGATGATTTCTCATTCTTTGCTTTTGGATTCTAAAGGTCTTCTGAGTGGCTTTTGAGCTATGGAAATTACGTTAAATATCGTAGAGTTGATTGCTTTTTCTAAACTTTTCATGATCTTGATTTCTCTTTAACTTTTAGAATAAACAACAGGACTCTGAATCCTATAAAGGAAAAGAAAAAAAGAGGTGATTTCAACCTGATGAATAAATCCGAGGGGACTGGATATATAAGTGGCCTGTGCATCTTTGCAGAGGAGCCCGCTGCCCAGAGGCCAAGGGAGTGAGAAGCTGGACAGCCTCAGCCATGGGGAAGGGGGCAAGGTCCTTCTTCCTTGTGGTACATGGAGCCCAGAGGTACTCAGAGTGAGAAGGATGATAAATAACGGCAGGGTCTTTTCCTTCCCCAGTTTGTCGGAGGTGGTCCTGTCCTCCCCAATATGGCTAACTCTATCCACTGTGGGTTTGAGGGAAGCCCTCCTGATTTCATCACCATCATCACTGCCTGCTGGAGGATGGTCACGTGCCTGAACACACAGGAATGGTGCTGCATCTGAATCTGGCACCCAGTGCAGGCGGGGAGAGGTTCACGTGGTGAGATCTGCCTTGGGAACCACCCTCTCCAAAGTCGACATCTTTTAATGCCTCCTGTGACATTCACGAGCAGGGTTTTGAGCCTTCTCACTAGCGCTTCTTCCTTCTGTGGACCCTCAATGCCCAGCTGGTCACTAAAGGACACAAACCACTGACACATCCTCTTGCTGAATCCATCTGGGGCTCCAGGGATGGAGAGCGGGTGGGGGGCTGCTGGCCCAGCTCCGACAGGGCTCCTGTTTTGGTCTGTGTTGATGACAGAGAAGGACCCCGGAAGAGCCCCCTCATGCACCCCCGTAGGTCAGCTTAGGGACGTATTCACTTTCTGCTCCTATCAGACTGTTCTTTGGCAACGGAGCTGCAGGCTGAAAAAGAGGATATGATATTGGGACTTCCCTGAAGCTCCGGTGGTTAAGATTCTGTGCTTCCATTGCAGTGGGGACATGGGTTCGATCTCTGGTTGGGGGACTAAGATCCCACATGGCTTGCAGCATGACCAAAAAATAAAAGGGGTGCTATCCTGAACAAAGTGGTAGACCCCCCTCTCTTGTTAGAGTCGTTTGAGAAATTATGTATTTGATTCCTTACCAAACAGTTTCCCGTCCCCTTGTCCCCCGTTCTAACCATCAGGTGGATGGCTGGTGCACCTGTAGATGTGAGTGGATTCCCGCGTTCTAATAGCAACTGCGTGGTGGCCTCATTCCTGAGGGACCTCTGAGTTTCGAACATTCTGGTCTCTTAATGTTATGAAAATATGCTGTTTATTTTTTTTAAAACTAAAGGGAATAAAGACAGACAAAGAAAGAAAGGGAGAAATGCAAGTTGAGCCTAAGATGACTTTTTTTTTTAAAGTCGACTAGAAGGCACGACAGAAGTCTGGCAAAGATAAAGCCACGAGTTCAAACGTATAGCACTTACTTTTCCTTTGCATCAAAGCAAAGCAAACACTGAGAAGGCCCATAGGCAGAGCTAACTTCCTCAATTGATCTTTTTCCCCCCTCACTGACTGCTGGGGGATGTAGATGCCTCAGCCTCTTAAATAACGCTCGGAACAGCAGGCCAATTGTGTGGCCGGGCCAGCGCTGCCCCAGGTAGCCGATAACTTCCTGTGTTGAAATGATGACTTGGAGATTTCATCCTGATATCCCCGCTCACCAGGAAATATCCTCTTACAGACCTGCCATTTCGTAAAGTAATCGGTGAGAATGCCATTAAAGTCAATGTCTTAATTAAGCTAAGCATTAGCCAAGGAATTACAGGCATCTGAAGGCTTAGACGGCCTGTGGGATCTCGTTTCAAGAGGCAGAGGTATGTGGAGGGTGGAGGACTGGGAACCCCAAGGAAGGCACCCACTGCCACTTAGATTTGGGGCATCACGGCCGCCCGGGACCCCTTCTGCAGGGCTGCTCACACCCCTGCAGGGTGGGCTGAACCCAAAC